GCGAGGGACCATTAATAACATTAATAACCGCTTTTCCACACCATGCGCAATGGGTGATTTTCACATGCAAGCAGTGCGTACCGCGACGAGTCCGTCGAACTGTTGCAGGATGAGGGACACGTGCATCCAGTAGTCCAACGTGTGCTTCATCTTCTCACTGTCGATGTGTATGCCATACATGCAGCCCAATAAGCCCATAAGTGAGTCAGGCGTTCTGACCGGGAGCGCGCGCAGCGTCGGGGAAGAAAGTCAGTCGCACCTCATGGCACGAGCCCACGAGAGCTGTTGGGTGAGGTAGTTGCGCAGGCCATCCGAGACGGGCTTGGTGTGGAACAGGTTGGCATCGTAGTTCGTGTACCAGTCCGAGATCTGCTTCGCCGTCAGGAAACCCTCTGCGTGCGGTTCAACGCACACCAACCGGTAGGTCAGTTGATGAGTTTGAGAGCCCCAGTGGTCAGAGTGATGCTGTCAACTGGGTTCATGGGAGTGCGTTGTTCGCACCCACGTAGCCGGCGGCAAACATCTGCTGGTCGGGCGTGTAGTTGGGCGAGCCCACCACATGCAGCACATCCCAGCCCGTCTTGTTCAGGCCTAGTAGATGTGTGCGTGCAGTTACAAAAACGAAAGTGTGAAGAAGATGGGTGGAGGGGAGGAGGAACCTGGCACGAAGTAGCCGGTGGCGGGGGACGCGTCGGTGCCTGCTGGTGCCGCGTGGTAGAGACCCGAGGAAGGATCGAAACGCACGCTTGCTGCGAGGGAGGCCTTGGATGCAAGTGCATCGACCGGCAGCGATGCCACAAAAATGAAGGCCATCACAATCGTGCACACCAGCACGCCGCACCTCTCCGGTCTTGGCCACATCGAGCTCCCCACCGCCATCTTCATCTTATTGCACCACCAAAACGAAATGGAAAAGGGAAAGAAAAACAAATTTGAAAAATCTCGATCTAATCACTTTCGTTTTCTTCATCTCTGAGCGTGCAAGATGGAACAGCCTGAGGGAGTGTCGCAACCGAAGGGACCGGCACCTATGTCGTGGGCATCGGCAGCGGCGGCCACCGCGGCTCCCGCCCCGACTTCTGCGGCCCCGATCGCGACGGCAGCGCCGGCGGCGCCAGCGGAGCCTCTCCCGCCTCCCCTGCGCGAGGGCGAGACGAACTGGAGCCTCTTCGTGAAGGGCGTGCACTACGCAATCGACCTGTGGACCATCATCGAGCTCGCGCTGGCCCACGGATTCGGCGGAAAGAACACCCCACAGAAGGTCCAAACACTAGAATTTGAGATACGTCTCTCTTCCTTCACATCTTCGATCCTTTTACACTCTGCTCTAGCAACATCATCTTCTTGCGATCACAAATCTCAAGAGAGATTTTGGAAATTTGCATCCTTGCACAGCATCTAGAGCACGTCGCGAGTCTCTTGTGGCGCAGTTGACAAAAAGTTCAATGTCGTTGTGGTGTTGTGGAATGCACCTCTTGGACATGTTCAGCAGCAAGCGCAAGAAGGTGGCGGACCTGGACGAGGTGGAGGACTTCCTCTACGAATTCCTCGGTGACAAGCTGAGGGTGGAGGCCGAAGACGGATCCGTCGAGGAGGTGCGCCCACGCTCGCGTGCTCTTCCCATCGTTCGCTCTCGCTTACCACGCTATGGCTTGACTGTCGTGTGTGCGTGTGCGCGTGCGCGTGCGTGTGCGTGTGCGTGTGCGGTTGGTGCGTGTGTTGCGCAGGTGTCCGACATTCTCATCGACCTGTACGACTCGATCTACAAGGACGCCAACATCGCGCCCTTTGAGAAGCTGGAGAAGGACTGGATGGCCAAGCAGGCCAAGATCGCCAAGACGGAGAGGCCGCGTCGAGAGCGGTCTTCCTCTTCAACTTCTTCCTCCTCGGCAGCAGGTATGCGTTCGCTTCCCATGCTCATTGGAATGTCACTGGCGCGTGTGCTGTTTGGTCATGTAGCAGTCTGCTCGTCTAATCACTCGAGCCGCCGCGCAGGTACGACGCCCACGCCCACGCAGGAGGTGGAGATGACGGAGGCCTCCGCCCCGGAAAGCAAGGTGGACGCAGATGGGTGGGAGACGGTGAACCACAAGAAGAAGAGAAGATAGTGGGACACCTCCGCACTTTACATCACAATAGACCACACGTTGCGCCCTTGTAAACCTAGGTTAGTCCTCGTCCCTGCTGGGTTGATGGACGCAGACGCCTTCATGAATGGCTAAGTCGTGGCGCTCACTCACAGGCGTGGTTTCTCGCGCAATTTCTTGGACTTTTTCCAGGCGCTTTTCTTGTCACCTCGCCTGATCGCATCGTTCGCTCTACTCGAATTGAAACTGGCCATCGCTTGAGTAGCATCTAGACGAACAAGAAAAAGGCGCAACGAGGCGAACGAAGTAGAAGTAGAAGGATATCATAATCAACATGAATGGCGGCGGGAAGAATTTCTGCGTGGCGCTGTTCATCTTGTTCATGCTCTTCATCGTGTACCACGTCACAACCACATTCCATCGACCCACTATCCCCGCCACGCCAGCAGAACTGCTCAATTCGGTAGAGGGCAACCCTGCCACGATCGATGAGGATTACAGCGATATCGATGTGCGAGACGACGAGGAAGAGGAACAGGAAGAGGAACTCTCGGACGAAGTCACGTTCCTCTTCGCCATCATCAACATGAATCGAACGGCCCACATGGGAATCGAGAACTACACATTCGAGAAGGACTACCTCGAGCAGCTGAAGGGCATTCTGCGACGCTACA